ATACTCTAAAAAAATGAACTTCTTTGATGTATTGTATTATTCTTCTTTTAGAGAATTTTTTAGTTTATCTGAGCCAAACATGACAAATACCAACAGCAAGATCTCAAAACCTGAGAATAACAAGGTGCTTTTTTCTGTCTATGAGAGTTTTGTGGTTTTTTGTTTGTTTTTGGTTTTTTGCTTAATCCTCCCTCTTTTCCCTGCACCACAACACATCAACTCTGACAGGTGTCAGTCTGTCCTCTGTATCCATGAGTCTGTCTGTTACTCTATTTTGTTCATCAGATTCCGCATAGAAGTGAAAATATATGGTACTTGTCTTCCTCTGACTGGTTTATTTTACTTAGGATAATGCTCTCCAGGTCCATTCATGCTGTCTGAAGAGGTAAGGTTTCATTCTTCGTTCCCTCCTCCTACTCCTCACTTCTTCCTTCTTTCTTCTCTCACCACCCCCCTCCTCCTCTTCCTTCTTTTCGGTTATTCCTCACCAGAGGATTTTTTTTTCTATTGATTTTTAGAAAGTGTGGAAGGGAGGAGGGGAGAGTGTCCAGTGGCTCTGGCTGAGGCGGGGTCTTAGCTTGTGTGAAGGCCCTGGTGGTGTGGACTAGCTCAGCGACTCTGCCTTTGCTTGGCTGCCTCTGGATGACCTGCTGCTCCTTTTTAGATCATGAGGAGTTCAAACCTCTGTCCAGAGACCAGGGTCAGATCAGGATGAGACAGTAGAGGCAGCATCTCATGTCCATTATTGCATTTGCTGATTATCCTCCTCTGGACTTTTAACATATCGTGTCCCTTTCTGTGGTGCTAAGAGATGTAATTCCTACAAAGGACTACTTAAGGAGGCAACCCTTAAGGCTAGAAGGAGGCCTGGGATTCCTAGCTGAGCCCTGGTGTAATCACCTGACAGCCAGTCTCCTCCAGGTTTCAGATCCTCAGCCACTGAGGATCCCCTATGAATAGGGCAGGGCTGGGACCTTCATACTGAGAGCTCCAGGTGCTGCTAGGTGAGAGGCTGGGAGAGGAGGGAAAGAAGGATGATTGTCTGCAACCCTCCTCAGGCTGTCAGGTGTCAGGATGGGCCTTCCTGTCCATCAGAGCTCCCACCAGGTCCTTTAGAACCTCCCATGCCCAGGAGAATCAGACCTGAGTGAAGGGAGCAATTGAGTCATTACTTTAGTCCTGAGCTCAGAACATCTTTGGCAGGGGTGGGGTGACTCTATGATGTGCAAAGGGTGGGCAGAGATTGGTACAGGCTGCTGGTCCCAGGGCAGGGGTGGCAGGTTCAAGGAAGATGTGACTCTAGTGGGGGCAGGCCTGGAGATGGGGAGTCACTGGGGTGCTGGAGCCATAGGAGAACTGACCCAGTATTTCCTCAGCCACTGGGACCAACACTCGCCCTTTTCTGCAGGCTGCTGATGCGATGCGACCAAGGAGGCCCTGGTGGTGTGGACTAGCTCAGTGACTCTGCCTTTGCTCGGCTGCCTCTGGATGACCTGCTGCTCTTTTTAGATCATGAGGCGTTCAAACCTCTGTCCAGAGACCAGGGGCAGATAAGGATGAGACAGTAGAGGCAGCACCTCAGGTCCATTATTGAATTTGCTGAGTATCCTCCTCAGGGCTTTTTAAACATATCATGTTACTTTCTGTGGTGCTAAGAGATGTCATTCCTACATTTAAACATTAATAGCTTCAATAAGAAATCTCCACAAAGAGAACATTCCTTTCAACACCTGCCTGCAGAACAAACTTGGAAATAAAAATCCTGAGTCAGTATTCCAAAGAGGAAGTACTTCAGTCAACAAAAGCCTTGGGCTCCACTGGGATAGAAACCAGTAGAAACACATGTTGATGAAGACAGCTAAGAATGTCTTCTACCTGTTTCTTTAAAAAGGAAGTGCTCTGGGACCGAAAGTCTTGAGTCTTTTAAGAAAAGAAGAAATGATCGTGAAGTTGGGAAAGGAGACGGAAAGCTGTAAGTGGTCAGGAGAATGGGGTGGAGGAAGGGGGCTGAGGGTCCCGAGGAGAAGGGGAGGAGAAGGGATTGAAATGCTGGGGCACTTCGCCCCAAGGTGCTGGTGCTGGGCCTCGGGGAGAGGCAACCTGGAAGACCAGGGGCAGGGACAACACTCAGGGATTCATTCCCTCCTTGGACCCTACTGATGCGGCTCCAGGTCGCGATGGCGTAGACTGTGGGCAGAAAATTCGGTCTTGTCCTCCTGGCCCAGCTTCTACTAAGGACTGTCTCTGGGCGGAGCTCAGCAGTGAAGCCAGAATGGAACCTGCGGGGGCAGGTGAGAGAGATGGGCCATGCACTGCAGTCCATGGCACTTCCTCTGTCGCTTGAGCTGCCTTTGAATGTGCGGATATAAACCATACACAGGACCCTCTGAACAGGAATCGGGAGAGCTTCTCAGACTGAAGAGGCCATGGGTTTACTCTGGTTTAGGGTGATTCTCCCCAGAGGACCCCCATGCTACTTACGTGCTGGTTGGTGCTGTGTCAATGGTTGAAGAAATGAGACCAGTGGGAGAGTGAAAACCTTAAACACTCTAAAACCACCATTTGCAGAACTGGAAGCCTTAAGTGCCCAGAGGACTCCAGGTGGCACTGTAGGCCTTTCTATTCTTGCCTGCACAACAAACTTGGAAATAAAAATCCTGGGTCAGTATTCCAAAGAGGAAGTACTTCAGTCAACAAAAGCCTTGGGCTCCACTGGGATAGAAACCAGTAGAAACACATGTTGATGAAGACAAATAAAGAATGTCTTCTATCTGTTTCATTAAAAAGGAAGTGCTCTCGAACCAAAAATCTTGAGTCTTTTAAGAAAAGAAGAAATGATCGTGAAGTTGGGAAAGGAGACGGAAAGCTGTAAGTGGTCAGGAGAATGGGGTGGAGGAAGGGGGCTGAGGGTCCCGAGGAGAAGGGATTGAAATGCTGGGACACTTCCCCCAAGGAGCAGGTTTCCGCCTGGGGGAGAGGCAACCCGGAGGACCAGGGGCAGGGATGGATGCTCAGGGATTCATTCCCTCCTTGGACCCTATGGATGCGGCTCCAGGTCGCGATGGTGTGGCCTGTGGGCAGTAAGTTCGGTCTTGTCCTCCTGGCCCAGCTTCTACTACAGGACTGTCTCTGGGCGGAGCTCAGCAGTGAAGCCAGAATGGAACCTGCGGGGGCAGGGGAGGGGGGGCGGGCACGAGGACGGGGTCCAGAACAGGGCGCCCACGGGGTTTGGAACTTTCCCGAGGGTTGGTGCCACCACACCCTGCTCAGCTCCCCTCCCCGTGTACCAGGCAAGGCAAGGACAGGGACACAAAACAGGGGACTTGCGCTAAAGAGTGATGCTGGGTGAATGGGTGGGATCACGGGGGTAGGGGATGGAGCAGGAAATTCTGCTAATGCCCAGCCCTCACCCCAGAGTTCCCAGCCCTCCCTGGGGAGAGGGCCCCCAGCCCCGGGTCGTCCTGTGGACGAGGAATGTTCACAGGGTTCACGGTCCACAGACTGGATACCCCAGCTCCACTCCACTTTCCCAGCAAACCCTCTAACACCCCCACTGCTCTCCACCTGGGCTTTCCCAGCAGCTTTGCCAGAGGGTCACCCCAAGCAGCTC